TGGTGAGGGTAGTAGTGATGGTGGTGGAGGTGGTGGGGGGTGGTAGGTGTAAAGTGGTGATGGTGATGAGGGTAGGGTGGTAACAACGGTGATGGTGGTGGTGGAAGGTGGAGGTAGTGAGGAGACGACAATAGTGATGGTGGGTGGTGGTGGTGGTGGTGATGGTGATGGTAGTGGGGTGGCGGTGGCAGTGATAGTGACGGTTGCGGTGGTGGTGATAGTGGTGGGGGTGGTTGCAATAGAGGTGGTGATGATATGGTTCTAAACACTTTTTTTTTAAAGTAATTATAAAAAATTATAAGTTTTAGAAAGTCACCTTAAACACATCTTTAAGGACCTATTTTTTTTTATTAAATTTGGGGTGTTAATATTAACTGTCAGATTAACTTTGAAATAAAATTTAAATAAATCTCAACTGCAAAAAATAAAAGTCATTTTGTTTATCTTTTGAGATTTGGATTGTATTGTAATTTATTATACAGATAATTGAGGTTATAACTTATGTTATTCACCTTATTACCTCCACAACTAACTTTCATATAGAAATCGGTTTTCCCGATTATCCAACATGGTCAAGTCTCAACCACATGATTTGTTGAAACATAACTCTGATTCTACTTGTTGAAACATAACTCTAATATTGTTTGTTAGTTTTGCACGGTGGATAATTAACACAAATAATACTCGTNGATTCACCTTATCACCTCCACAACTAACTTTCATATAGAAATCGGTTTTCCTGATTATCCAACATGGTCAAGTCTCAACCACATGATTTGTTGAAACATAACTCTGATTCTACTTGTTGAAACATCACTCTAATATTGTTTGTTAGTTTTGCACGGTGGATAATTAACACAAATAATACTCGTTAAAAGATAGGAATTTAAAAATAGGAAAACAATAAAAACATGACACAAATATATCATGGTTTGATACAGTATACCCACTTTGATTCACTATATTTACATCCACATATAAAAAACTTATATCGATGTAATAATCACTGAAAAACTAGTCATCTCATTATTTATTTAATTGTTTATTAAACCCTATTTTTAGGGATAAAATATTATAACTCAAACTTATTCAGATACAATTTAATCTTTATGTTTTCCATCACATGTTTAATATACTTATTTATGATATATTAAAACTCTTCTAATATAATCATATTTTATATATGATTCTTATATTGATTATTCAATAAACTCTCATTTATGATATTTAAAGAGTTTGAGTTAAGTTCCAACGTAATTTATAAGTACCGTACCGATAAAATACAAATAGGCGCCAACAACTTGCCCGTCTAGCTAGAAAAAATATTTTCTTTGCGAAGGTATTAATAAAGAACTTTGATATTATAAGTTTTAGCAATAATAGGCCATCAATGAATGCATTACTTNCCAATAAATTCTCATTTATGATATTTAAAGAGTTTGAGTTAAATTCCAACGTAATTTATAAGTACCGTACCGATAAAATACAAATAGGCGCCAACAACTTGCCCGTCTAGCTAGAAAAAATATTTTCTTTGCGAAGGTATTAATAAAGAACTTTGATATTATAAGTTTTAGCAATAATAGGCCATCAATGAATGCATTACTTTTAACTAAACCAGATGACTCGGTGAAAGCATCAGTGTACCTCTAATGGGATCACCAACCGGAGTGGTTGAGTTCCATGAATGAGAGAGTAAAACGAAAGGTGGAACTAGATCCATGCACGGCGGAGGTAGTACATTAGTACAGGCTCATCTGTTAATTACTGTCTAAGTGATATTATATAAAAAATAATAATTAATAAATGATAACAAAATTCATTTATTCAAAGAATTATTTTTTAAATAAATAATAATACAACTATTATTGATGACATGAGATTAATATTTTTTTTCTTCCGGAGGTGGGCGGCCCCATAAATCCACCTGTCGGGCGTGCTGAGACATGCACATGCCCTGCACAAACTTCACCTTTTTTATGTTTTTTTGGGACTTGTTTGTACTACCTTTGATGTCTTTCTTTTTCTTCTTGTTATAACCTCATTATCATGTTTAGCCTAAAGGTTGACAAAATGATCAGATCTAGTCAAGTTAGTTTCATTATTTTGAGGATCTCACTTTATATCTCAATCAGCTTTTAACATTTTTATTTTATATCTTTAAAGATTTAATTTTTTATATTATATCTTAAATATATTAAAAATCACTCCATTGATATTCATTGACGAATAACAAAAATTAACGAAACGATTACGTTAAAACACTTTTAATATATTAAATGTGTAAAATGAGAAATTTTAAAAATATAAAATAATTTTTTTCAAATCCTCCATAATGCAAAATAGAATTCTGATAAACAAACCGGGGGAAAAACAATGTCATTATAGGCCCTTGACACCAAAAAGAGAAAATAAAAAAAGAAAAAAGAGGTACAGTACATCCTTGATCATGTGACCTTTTCATATTACTTGGGATGACCATTTTAACTTTGATATGAAATTAATCTAAAGTTTCTTTCTATTGTTTTTTTTTTGGCTTGCTTGATATTAATTTAGTTATAAATACTTCCTCCGTTCCTAAATATCTGTCGTTTAAAATTTTGCATAGGAATTACAGAAGCTATTAAATAGCTGTAATATGAGTAAAAAAATAATTACACAAGACTAAAATACCATTATTCTATACATATTGGAAATGAAAAGAATATGAAAGACACTTAGCCTCCACCTAATTTAATGTATTGAAAAATTAAGGATAAATTTAGAAGAAAAAATATTAATTATGCTTTGGTTTCATAAAACGATAGATATTATAGAACAAAAAAAATTGTGTAAAACGACAGATATTTAGGAACGGAGGGAGTAGTTTAGATATAATCAAGTTATTCAATCAAATTTGTTTAATAAATGAGCCAACACGAGACAAAATTAATACAACACGAATTTAATTGTACATGATTATAAATGATTCGCCTGTAGGTTAAATAAATTTTGACATGNTTGCTTGCTTGATATTAATTTAGTTATAAATACTTCCTCCGTTCCTAAATATCTGTCGTTTAAAATTTTGCACAGGAATTACAGAAGCTATTAAATAACAGTAATATGAGTAAAAAAATAATTACACAAGACTAAAATACCATTATTCTATACATATTGGAAAGGAAAAGAATATGAAAAACACTTAGCCTCCACCTAATTTAATGTATTGAAAAATTAAGGATAAATTTAGAAGAAAAAATATTAATTATGCTTTGGTTTCATAAAATGATAGATATTATAGAACAAAAAAAATTGTGTAAAACGACAGATATTTAGGAACGGAGGGAGTAGTTTAGATATAATCAAGTTATTCAATCAGATTTGTTTAATAAATGAGCCAACACGAGACAAAATTAATACAACACGGATTTAATTGTACATGATTATAAATGATTCGCCTGTAGGTTAAATAAATTTTGACATGTTAAAATTTTAACAAGAAATAAATAAAAAGAAATTAATTAGAAAAAATACTATTGATTTCTAAAATTTTAGGAAAATACCTTGCATCTCAAATGATATTTCAAATAAATAAAAAACATTGAATGAATGGGTCTTGTTAAAAAAAGTTAGATCTCGACTAGTTTAGAATCCAAAATTTGGGATCTTAGCATTGTTCAATTCTTTAAGCTCCAGCCCCACCACAAATTAGGAGATCTTGTCCACAACAGTTGGCCCACCGGCTAATCTTTCTTGATCAAAAAGATGATTCCACAAATCAACGGCTATGATTTATTTATGATAGATCTTAGGCAATGATTAACACCTTTTCCTTCAATACCTTGCTTTTCACACATAAAAAGTACAGAACACTGGAAAGTCAAACAGTTTGTACCATGAAATGTGGACTCCCAGAAGAGTCGGTGATCTATCATCTTAGAATCCTCCTCTTCCTCTTTTAACCGTCGGATCAAAATATCAATCCAACGGCCAACCCATANATAGGCAATGATTAACACCTTTTCCTTCAATACCTTGCTTTTCACACATAAAAAGTACAGAACACTGGGAAGTCAAACAGTTTGTAGCATGAAATGTGGACTCCCAGAAGAGTCGGTGATCTATCATCTTAGAACCCTCCTCTTCCTCTTTTAACCGTCGGATCAAAATATCAATCCAACGGCCAACCCATAATATTCTGTACGTCAGAAACAGACAAAAAGATGAACAATTGCACATGATTAATGACGTACCTTTTTTTTTTTAAGTCTTACTTTATTTATTTATTATTTTTTCAACGGTCAAATATGTGTCTAAACTAATCTACTTATTAATTTTTTTTTATTTTAATTAAAGACAAGTTATTCATATGATCTAATCCAAAAAAATTATCAGATTTACTGAATAAAATTTAAACGATTGNGTGTCTAAACTAATTTACTTACTAATTTTTTTTTATTTTAATTAAAGACAAGTTATTCATATGATCTAATCCAAAAAAATTATCAGATTTACTGAATAAAATTTAAACGATTGATACCTCATGATCGACGATAGACTTGATTTACGGGATAAAATCTCGTCGTTTTTTCGGACAAAAAAAAATAAGTTGAATTTATTTTTTTTTTCCTTTAAAAAAACTTGAATTTCACCCTGTATGGTATACTCTTAACTACGACTTCAAGTATACTTCAGTTTTCGAAGTCTCATCTTCAAAGCAAAGAAGAGATTCCTCTAATAAACTTAACTAATTTCAGTTCTTACCTTGATTCAAACACACAAAATGCAAATCGTTCCTCTCTCTTTCGATCTCTCTACTGGTAATTTCTCTCTCTACAAACTTATTTCTCTCTGTATTGTATACATCGATGATATACATGATTACATCTAATGTGAATTTTGATGGTGTGTGTTTATATAAAGATTTGGTCGTTAATTTCAATGCTTCGGTGTTTTTGGAAGATTGTTTTGGTTATTGCAGGTAATGCTTGATTTGCCTACTACTTAATCATGGCAGGCGAAATTGAGGAACCTTTTAGACTTGGTTTTCAGGTACTCTTAACTACTGTCATCATCTTTATTATCATCATGATTGTAGTTATTTTCAAGTTTGTTTTATCTGTGGATCTAAATGTGATATGGATTATGAATGATCTACATTCTTTGATTTGTTACCGTGATTAGTATTTTCATGTGTTTTGGCGCAAATTTGGTTATGCTTTAATGGTGTGCTTTTGGATCATTTTGTTGTTGGATGGAATTTTATTTGATTATTCAAATAGCTTACTTGGTAAATGCTACTTAATCATTGAAGATCAGTTCCCACCTTCATCTATTTTTCTGGTTGTTTTTCTTTTTGTCTTGGGTTTTGGGTTTTTTTTTTCGGGGGGGTGGGGGGGAGATGGTTGTGTAGCGGGTACCCTTGCGAAGTCCATAGTTGCATTTTGGACAACAGTCCAAAAAAAGGAGTTGTTTTCAAGTTGTCCTTGCTTACTTGTAGGACTTTGTTCCCCTTGTTTATGGATCCATATTACTTTGCGTCTGTCAGATGTTGTGTTTTTTAGCTTCGGGAGGTCAAAGTTGCATCTTTGATAAACTATACATTTTTCTCAGGATAATACTTTACGCATGCTGTACAATCTCATTGCTCGGATTGTACTGTTGTAATGGCCTGCTTGAAAATCATAGTAGATCATTTGTTGATGTAAATAGTACCAACAATGGAACTGTATATTGTCATATGGGATTTATTCTGAACTTCTGCTGATTTTCTGGACATAATTCAGTGTAGGCATTATGCTTGTGATCAATATGATGTCCTTCTTCATGGTGTCGTGGTGATTCTCTTATTGTGTTTTAACGTCTACTATCTTAAAAATGGACAGATGGAATCTCTTCACTCTGGCTCTATCTCATTTGGACGGTTTGAAGCCGAATCCCTGAGTTGGGAAAGGAGGTCGTCCTTCTCACATAATAGGTATCTTGAAGAGGTTGAGAAATACTCAAAACCTGGTTCAGTTACCGAGATGAAAGCATATTTTGAGGCTCACTTTAAGAAGAAGGCCCTTCTGAGCCAGAGTTCATCCGAGTGTCAAAATGGGACAGAATACCAAACTAGTGAAAATGACATTTCAGAAAACATGCATAATGGGGATGAATTTGGGCATCTTAATCGGTGTAGCCATTCTGCACACTTTGACGAGAGTCTTGCTCACTTGGAATATGGCAGAGAGTATGAAAAAGCAAACTATGAAGGGGGAAGGGGAGTTCTATATTCTGAACCTCAGGTTGAAGCTGGTATCTGTGGTGCTGATGTTGCGGACACAGTTTCTGTACATGTCATTGAAGTTGCACAACAAAATGAAACTGGAAATTTCCTTTTAAGCAATACTGAACAAGAAAAAGAAGTAAAAGAGAGTCCTGATGGTGAAGAACTACATGTAAATATGACATGTAAAGCCATTTTTCCGCCCCTTAATAGTCACACAAGTGATAAAGAAGAAACTGCTTGCTTGGGACATGAACAAAATCCTTCTCTCAAGGTGCATCTTATTAACAAGTTCTTCGAGTAACAGCTTTTGTCTTCTATAGTTACTTGGTAATCAGAACCTTGAGAATAATCATGTGTAGATATTATTGAGATATGTCCTTTGATTTTATTTTCTTTTCTGTATGCTGGTATTTTGTGCTTATATACAAGCGGAATGTTTTCAGCGTTATATCTTGTGATTTGCTTTACACTGCTTGGTGTCATGAATATAGGTTAAGAATTCTTCGGAAACCAAAGCTACACAAACCAGATTGAAGTCTCAGGTCATTGTTGAACAGGTTCAGAGAAACATATCAAGTGAAGCATCTACCAAGGTTGCTGGAAGACCTGATAGAAATGAAAGAGGAGGTTCATTAAGAACAAAAACAGAAAAGCAATTAGCCCAAACTGCTGCACCAAACACACGTTCAATGCGCAAAACTTCAAAACCAGAGGTACCTGGCGGTCATGCAGATCCCTTGAAATAGGAAATCAATTATGAAAAAAGAAAATTGGTCACCCTGTTTGATATGCAGAACCCTCAAACATGTGTTATTTATTTTTAATCGCATTCTATTATTTACAAAATAATCCTGGTTTTGTAATTTTAACGTCCCATTTAGTTACTAATTGGTCTTTTTTCTTTTTTTTGTGCAGGAGTGTAATAGTACAAAGGCAAAATTAACTCGTGAGAACAAAAGGTACCGGTGATTTCTGATTTCTGCTACTGAAAAATATATACCATCCACTGTTAGGGCCTCAAGGACACTTCTCTTGATGTACTAGCTCTAGAATTGCATCAACGGCACAAAAAGGCAGTCAAATGCAGTCTTCTGCAAGTGAGAAGATCGTTCCAGGAGCATGTCAAACTTCCAGCAGGTTTTTAAGGAACAACATTATTAACATTTCATTGCAAATTTTTTTTTTGATTCTCAGATGCTCATATCTAGTTGCTATTATCTAGGCCCAAGCAGACTGTAAGTTCAACTAAGACAGCAGTGAAGCAGAGTGTTCCAGTTTTCAACTTTAAGAGCAATGGACAAGCTGAGAGGAGGAAAGAGGCATGGCAGCATCCTGTTCCTTCAATGGTAATTCCGTTCGAGATTAAGAATTCAGATCCAGGTCCTAATTTTTATTTTTATTTTTTGTTATTTCCCATCTTTACTGCAGTTCGCTTTGAAGTTGGAAGAAAAAATGCACACTAAGGAGTCTCAGATGAATCAAGTCCAAGCAAAAACATTGGTATATGAACCCTCTATGCAATTCATATTTGTTGTCAAACTCCAAAATATACAAGTGATTACTTGTGGGGAAGCTCTTTTGAATCTTTCTTGAATTGTTGAATTGCATTTCTTTCTTATCCCCAAGTTGCAATATTTCTCTAATTTTCTATCCTAATAAAGTAAAACTGCTAAAGCTAGCAGACGAAATGTTGACACATATGTTGTTTTGAGCAATTGTTGAACAGGACTGAACTCAAATTGAATCAATGAGCAGGTTTTGAAGTCTGCATTATTTTTGTCACCCACTCCCTCACGGTTGTTCAGGTCTTTTAAAGATTCTTGTTTGTGCCAACTATTGGTATTTGCAGGAAGAAAGAGAAGCTGAGGTTAAACAAGTCCGCAGAAGCCTTAATTTTAAAGCAACACCTATGCCTTCTTTCTATCGTGAAGCTGTACATGGATCAGATAAGAACAAGGTGTGTAGCTGCTCTGGATACGCTGCCCCCCTTTTGATGTATAATTGTTCCAAAATCAGAACCTATGGCTCCATTTCTTCGTAATCATATTGTGCTACCCATCTTTTCTTTATTCTGTGTGTGTCTGTGTGCATGTGCACCCCCATGTACTGATAATTTACTCATTAGAATATGAGGATGCTTGGTGGTTACTGCATCACATTTTAAGGGTAATTTGGTTTTGACTGCCAAGAATGTGCAATTTGATGTGCTACCCATTAAGTTGCTTGGGGACCTCTTATTTTTCATATGGTATATCCATTGTTCTCTTTCTTCTTCCCAATTGAAATTCTTTAAGTAGTTGAAGAAGTTATATGAAAGGAACGTAGGAGGAATATCAGGATCTCAAAGACGAAGTTGGTTCAGTCAGAAGCTACAACACCATTATCAGAGCTGATGGGGCTTGACAGCTGAGCCTTGAGAACGAATAACTATTAGCAATTCTTCGTATCCTCCCCCCAATGAACACATACAGAATCCCCGAGGACTGAGGGCCACCTTTCTTTCAACTCTGGTTCACCTCCATGGGTTCCTAGCGGGGTGGAACTCGAACTTCGAACAGTTGTTATTTGCTTCCTACTGGTTAGAGTATATGAATCCTGTAGTTCTCAGATGATAGGTTGCTCTCCTAGCTATCCTTGTATGACTTTTGTAAGATTTAGTAATGTTTTTTATTTTCTAATGCTAGAGTAGCTGAAAATCTTTTTGAAAAGATTGAATATCATTGCAAGTGTGCAAGTTTTCTGTTAGACATGGCCAGAAAATAGGAATCCTGGAAATGAAAAAGGATATTGAGATTGACAAGTGTAATGACTAGACCATTGAAACCTATGTTCCCTTTCTTCATGTTGGCAAAGGGTGCCCCTTTCTGGAGGTTCTTTTTTTGAGTATTATTACCTTCGGATATTCTATAGTCATCCATGTTGATGTCCATTAATACAAGGCTATCCTTGAGTTTTAGTGTTGAAAATATTTAGTTAGAACCCTGTCTATTAGTTTAAGGACCTAGAACGGTTGGTCAGTAAGGATTATCATATACTGGTCTAAAACTCTCATGTTCAATTATTATACAAATATAAGCCTGTTAATCTGCCCCTTATGATATTGGTTGAAACATGTTGTCTTACTGCCTATTTGTGGACCTTGCTCATCCAATTTTTATGCTGGCATCTGAAGTAGTTACTTCCCTCCATTGTGAATTTTTTTTCCTATTTAGTCTGACTGGTCTTTCTTTTTCCCCTTCTTTTTGTTGAAGCAGAAAATAGTCTTTCCATTTTTTTCTACTTTAATCAAAAAAAATTTCCAATATGTATATCCAAACCAAGCCATGACGTGGGAACATTATTTTGATTTCAGACTGGATCATGTAACACCAAATCACTCAGAGCACGATGCAAGGCTTCAAGTTCAAGTGCTGGAGCGATCACAAGGATGTCCGATTGCAGTGCACCTGTGCCTTTCATTGGTGGTGCTAGCACTTCAACTCGAGCAACCCACAAAAAACATCCTCCATACGCAGAAATTAATACTGGGATAGTTGGGAAGAAAGAGCTGGAAAAGGCAAAGAAAACGATGCTACCAAAACATAGAGTACCAGATTGCAGCAAGGTCACAAAAAGCCACAGTGGTGTGGGGAATAAGAAAGTGGGAACTGGGATACGTAGCAACGACATGGTGAGGAAGGATATGAAAACCACTGGCATGGAATGTTCAGGAATGGGTAATGTAGCAGTTGGTGTTGCCTCCTGAACAATGAAACAAGTATTTCCCTGGTCCACCTATTCACATTCTCCTGTAGACTAAACATAGCATCAGAAGACGGTGTTACCAAAATGAAGTTGAAGAGAAGCACAACACAGATCTTACGATGCCAGGTCCGTGTCATATGCTTTCATTAATTGTGGGGTAGTGGTATTTATGAGGACAAATTACTGCAATTGTCCATGAAGTTAGCAAACTCCCTTATGCTATGCAGCTTGTAATATATTATGTTCTCAGGTAGAAAATAAGAATGAATCGGTCTCGAGGACCTCTTGCAATTGTAAATCTTTCAATCATATCTATGTAACGGTATTGACAAATAAAACATCACTAAGTTAATTATCAGGCCAACATGATATCGTATCTTTCGATAATTGATTTGTATTAAGCATTGTGAGGTGTCAAATGTGTGCCTTTCCCTTTCCCCTTTTGCTATTAGTAAAAGAGGTGTCTGATCTGCCAAATTAGAATTCAACTGCGTGCTTGTCTGATGAAGAGATGAACATTTTCGAAGTTAAGACTATTCAAAACCAGGGTAGAGGCTAGTTTTATATGGGACATTGTTTCAACCCTTCCCCAGCACTATTTTTCCGAATCATAATCTGAATACTATGTTGGGCCAGGCCAGCTAAATTGGAAATTTTTGTGGTGGAGCTAATACTGGTTGGACCAAGCTTTTTTATTGATCCGTCCGTCTGTTAATCAAAAACATGACCAGCCGGACATTATTGCATTGATTTGAATGAGATTGACTTGAAAATCCAATCCAGACCAATCAACCCGCCCCGCCCTGTTAGGTCCTACTGAGTTCGATCGGGTCAATCCTACTTGGTCTATCTTCCTGATTTATTTTAAGGCATCTTTCTCAATTATTTAATATGACATATCTTTTTATTTTTAGAATTTTGGAAATGCCAATGTGGCGGGCCACAGGTTGCTTTCCTAGATCGGGACTGGACCTATCCTATCCATTGGGTCAAAAAAGAAGGCACACGGTTACTACATATCCGGCTTTAGAAGCAGACAAGTGGTTTTAAAATTCAATTCAATCTCAATTATTATTATTATTATTATTATATCAAAGAAGAAAATATCCAACTACTGAAAGTCATCAAACACTCTTGGGGCATCATAACCTCAATTATAGATTTCTTGGGGGATGGCCCGTTGGGCTGTCATTTCAGCATTTCAAGTTGAATATTCATTATTCTGGCTTGGAAATCAACGTTAAATCATGGATGGGTTGAATTGGTGACTTCTTCTCTTCTTTAACAACAATAAAGACTATAGGACTTGACTACAGTACCCAATAAAAAAATTCAGTACTAAACCTTTATAACTTGTTTGGTTGGAGGGAAAAATGGATGAATAGAAAAGTGAGGATAGAAAATGAGATGGAAAGAAAGTGTTTCCATTGTTTGGTTGCAACAGAAAGTTAAGTAGAAAGGAAAATTGGATGGAAATGATATCCATCCCCCCCCCCCCCCCCCCCC